GTCTGCCTGGGTTTTGCCGCGCATAGCAAGAATGAGCAATTTTCGAAAGTTACCCTCGCATGGTTCCCCTTGGGCCCATCCTGGGCCGCTTTCGCTGGCCGCTTTCGCTGGCCGGGCCCCGCTCACAGAGTCTCGACGCGGCCTTCCGAGGCCCTTGCATCCCTGGCGTGCGTCCCTGCGACACGGGTTGACCGCAAGCTACATCTGCTCCTTGAGCGCCCTCCGCCCCCCTACTGCGGGGCACTCTCCGCCGGGGCATTCGGCAAGCCCTGCGGCGGCGCACCCGGGCGCGCAGCGTGCGCCGGGCGAGGCCCCGCCGCGATGGCCCGCCGACGGCCGGGCGCCCGGTGAGGCAGCCTGAGCCCCGCGGCGTGCTGCGGCGCGGGCTCAAGGCGGGCGCCACGCGTCAGCGACGGCGACGGCGATTGCGACGACGACGACGACGACGACGGCGACGACGACCACGGCGACCACGACGACGACGATGGCGGCGACGACGACGACGATGGCGGCGGCGGCGGCGGCGGCGCCGACGCCGACGGCGACGACGACGACGGCGGCTGCGACTACGACGACGGCGGCGGCGGCGACGGCGACGGCGACTTCGACGACGTGTATTTGACCGCGTTTGCTGTGCCTTCTGCGGCCTTCGGGTCAGAGGAGGAAAAGGTGCTTATGCCGCTGCTCGTCCTGGAGAGCCCTTGTTCTCATGGCCGGGTTCGCCTCGAGGTTCTTCTCGGAACGCAATTGGGGAGAAGTCCGTCGAGTAGCGGTATCGGCATCGATTGGCTAGCGGATTAGGCCGAAGATCGCCGAGAATTTCCCAGAAGGGCCAAACATTATTTTTGTTTCTAAGTCCCGCGCGCCAAATACCCCTCTGGCAGGCCACGGTGGCGGCGGGTGTGTGGTTGTCGGTCCATCCCGACATTGTGCTTGGGTCGTGGGGAAGGCTTCTCGGAGGCCTCTGGGGCCATGTTGGGGGCCTCTGGGGCCATGTTGGGGGCCTCGGGAGGCTGTGGCGGCGGACGACTCCTGATGCCCGGTCGAGCTCCCCCTCGTGGGGGCCCTTTTGGGGCTCTTTTGGGTGCTTCTTAGGTTGTGTTGGGAGCCTCGGAGCCTCGAGAGGCGAGCATGCGACAATCATCCGACAAAAGCGCAGGTGCTTCAATGGTTCCAACCTCTCGGGGCGGCCCCCAGTCGGGGAATAAACATTGCCATAAACACAAACTGTCGGTGGTCCTCCACGGATTTCTCGGAATGTCGCTGGAGCCCCCCTGGCGGCGCATCCGGCCCCGCCCCTGACGCGCTCCTCGCACCAGGAAGGGGGGTCCAGCGCCGATCCGAGAAATCCGCGCGGATCTCCGCCGATGCTGTCGTTTAAGTCATTAATTAGTTGCAAAAACGTGATTCACAATCGTCAACACAGATAGAATTCGAAAGGACCTGAGGACACTCCAGTCTCAGTGCCTCCCGGCTCGGTGGCGAGTTCCACATTTTGAGAGCATGTGGTTTCCCTTGGATTCTCTGGTGGGGTATTGGTCGTCTTCGTGGCCCCTTGGGTCCATTGGTGTCCTTTGGGGGCCGTCTTGCAAGCCCACGGTTTGCATGTTACTAGCTTAGTACATCAAATAACATTTCGAAACAACGAGTGCAGGACCTTTTCACGGCAATCGCCCTTCGAGCCGTTCGCACATTATCACCCAATGTGCTGACGTTTCGCGTATATCTAGCAGCCCATCAAGAAACGATGGCCAGGAGAGGTCTTTTGATCGGGGAAGTGCAGCAGCATCCAGTGTGACGGACAGAAGTCATTTGTCATGGCGCAGAGCAGAGTTCGTTCGGAAAATATTTGGATGGACCCGGATTGTCCTGGAGAATTTCGTTCCAGATTTCGAAGTGAGTTTCATGCGGATTGTGTTGGTTAGGAATGAAGACTACAACAACATCCACTTGAAGTTCACGTCGTGTTTCGCTCGTCGTGTCGGAGTTTTGAACTGACAGGAATCCATTCACAAATCGAGGCCAGCACGTCTGCAAGGTCGGTGCAATGGCATATGTCAAGCCAAAGTTTGGAGTCAGCCTACGCATACCCAGGCGTGGAATTGCTGAATTTGTGGTCGAGGGAGGAGGAGGAGCAGGAGGAGGAGGAGGAGGAGGAGGAGGAGGCGGATGAGAAAATGGAGAGGGAGGGGGGGGGAAGAGGGAGGATAATGTGGAGAAAGTTGGGAAGTTGGAGGCGGACGAGCAAGAACAGGAGGAGGACATGGGAGAAAGGGGTCGACGACGACATTCACGAGGACGAGGAGAAAGAGAAATACGACGACGACAACGACGGGAGTCAACAATGAAGGCCTTTGTGAATATAGTTCGTTCTAAGAGAATTTTGAAGCCATATGAAAGCAATATTGGGGAATGTTGGGGATTTTCGGAGTCGTATGGGGGTCCGTTGTGTGGCCTTTGGGGCCATCTTGGAGGATATCGATCAAAGGGGGAGTCATAAGCTAGCCTTGCTCCGTCAGAGTCCGAAATGTCTCTTGGAGGCCTCTTGGGGCGCCCTTGGGGCTGTAGTGGGACTTTTCTTGGCCACTCTTCAAGCTCGATTGGGCGATCTCGGGGCCATCTTGAGATCCCAGAGTCTCAGTGGAAGCGAAAAGGCAACAAGACAAAAGAGCATCGAGGAACATTAGGTTATCCAGTGGTCCTGGCCTATTGCGGGTCTGATTGAGGCGCTTGGTGGCTACTTGAAGCCGACTTGTAGTAGCTTTGTGGTCTCTTGGAGGCATGTTGAATGTCACCGTGGGCCATCCTGGGGGCTTTCTGCCCACCCGTCTCGGTTCATGCCCTGATTCTGCGGCTTGCTCCTTTCTCTTCTTCCTTCTCCGTCTCCCTTCAGTCCTTCTCCTCCCTCGTCTCCTTCCCCTTGCGCGAGGGGCACGTGCAGAATACAAGGCTGGCGCGCACAGCCTTCTGAAGCCCCCGAGATTGCCTTGGTGCAATCCGGCCAGGGCCCCGGACTACAGCCGCGCGGGGCGCCCGCCGGTACGCCAGCGTGCAGCGCGGGTATGTGATTGTTAGGTCGAGCTGCGGCTCCGCAGGAAGGCAGCTCGGGATCCCTTGGAGATCTGGAGGGGGCCAATGCAAATGCGGTGCGACTCGGCGCCTGCATGCGGATTGGTCCCCAGCTTCGTGTTTTCGGCTGGTCGATTTGGCTCAAGTGCGCGGTGGAGGAACAAAACATTCCTTCTTCTCGCGTGGTGGCTCGCGGCGGCAGCTCCTCCCAGGGAGAGTTGGGCCCCATTCTTTTTGGGACCCGCGTTCCGTTCCGAGTAGTTGTTTGAACAGGGGAGCGGTGAGTGTTCCCGGACGCCGATTGGCCGTCACCTTTTTGGGCCTGAGTTTCGGTGGTCGCAAGACAAAGAAGCTATAGTAGGAAAAAAAACAATCTTGGGTTACATGTAACCATTCTGGGCTATCCGAGCCACTCTTGAGCCCATCTTGGCCCAAACGCTGCCTAAGGATGCCCCTTGAGATGTTAAAAGCTGTCCCAAGGTGTTTCAATCGGTTGGGCTTTTAGCGATGGGGGTCCTTAGTTAGTGCCGACCCGTCAGAACCCTAAAGATGGTATTTGGGGGATCTCTTGAGGCCCCCTCGTGTCGCTCTTAGTGCGCTCTTGGGGCCGTCTTGTACCCTTTTATCGGACCCTCTCGGGGCTCTCTTGGGTGATCTTGGGGTAATCTTGATGCCCCAGGGGCCCATGGGAAGCCAGCGAAAAGGCGAGAACGTCAAGCTGATTAGAAACCTTCGGTGTCGAAGTGAGTGTCCTCACGGGGGTCGCCTTGGGACGCTCCGTTGCCACTTGGAGCAGTCTTGGGGTGGTGTTCTGGCCTCTTGGAGGCATATTGGATGTCACATTGAGCAAGATTGTGCTACATTGACCCATCTTGGAGGCCATTTTGGGCCATCCTGGACGATCTAAGCACTCGCCCCCCGCCCGTCCAAACCCAGGAGAGGGGGAACAGGGGGAAGGAGTCAAGTTCCCAACGAGAGCGCCAGAAGCCGCGCCGCTCACTCCCGCCCGCCCTCCCATCAGTAAGTACCACCCGAGACTCAGCAGAGGCAGAGGTCGCCATCGGATGGACCGCCAATGGTAACCACAACAGTTGTGCGACTATTGCGCGACGCGCCGCGCGTGCCTTGTTGGTTACGTGCACCACTCGTGCGGCGGGTTCCCCAGGGGGGAAGGCCCAAACGCGCTTGGCGCGCCAACTGCGCCTCACACGTCAAGTGCGCCACCTGCTCCAGCCACGCCAGATGTGCCGTGTGCACGACGCGCGCAGTGCGTCAGCGCACGTAGTAGCACACACTGGGCGATATGTCGACCCTCCGGACCCACCCCTGTAATAGACATCGCAAAGTGGCGGCGGGGCGGTCAGCACGGTGTATACGGCGTACGCATCCGCAGCGCATCTGTTTTTGACAGGGATCGCAGGGCAGCGCGCCGTGCACAAATATGCCCACACACACACACACACGCCAGAAGTGCCAGCAGTCTTTGCAAAATCGTTGCGAAGCGCCCGCTCGTGATCCAGATGTTGCCGCCACGTGCACTTTGCATGTTTGGGTTTGGCAGGAGTGGTGGCGAGGGGGGGTCATTGTTCCTGGTTGGTTGCAGGTGGGACAGGGGGTGGTCATCAAGAAGGTGCAGTGATAGATCTTTCTCAGAAAAAAATAAGAATGAGGTTGGAAAGAAAAGATCCTTAAACTACCTGGGCCCGCAGGGTTGGTGACATTTCGTGATGGGCAGCCATTGGCTTCATGGCATTGAGTGAGAATCCCACACGAAGAAGATTCGCTGTTCCTCGCCATCATCAACACCATACCCTTCGTCACCATCAGCGCCACTTTTGGGGCTCGAGCGATTAGTTTATGGTTCCCGAGGGGGTCGCGCGATCGTGCAGGGCTCGTTCGTGCGAGCGTGAGACATATTTGCTGTGCGGCCAATGGTGACCATAGGGAATGCCATTCTCCCGTCGGACTCGGACCCGGAGGACGAGGACTACGAGGGCAGCGAGGACGAGGCCGCTGCAACCACGACCGCCGCGGGGGCCGACGACGCTGCCGCTGGCAGGAGCGCCAGGAAGGCCGCGAGGCGGGCCGCGGAGGAGGCCTGGGCCGACATGCAGGCCGAGGAGGCTCGCGCAGCTGCCGCTCGGAGGCGGCCCCCGCTTGCAGCAGCGGACCCTCTGGCGCGAGAGCTTCAGCGGCGCCATCCGCGGCGCCCCAAGGACTCGGGGAAGAAGAGCGCACCGACGCCGAGGCCCTTCCCTCCTGCTCGCCCCCTGCTGCGCCTCCTGGGGCGCAGGGGCCCTCGCCGCCACGGCCCCCTTCGCCTCGGAGCCTTGGTCAGGCCGCGCCCTGGGAGAGTCACGGGGCGTGGCGGCGTCGGCGTCTCCCTGCTGCCTCGAGGACTGCTCGAAGCAGGGCGTCCTCGCCATGCTGTCCAAGTACGGCGGCGCCGCTCCGGAGGACGGCCGCGCGGCAGTGCCCGCCGCGGAGTGGAAGCGGCGGGTGCGCGCGGCGGCCCCTGCTGCGGAGCCGGCGGGCCCCGGTGCCGCCGCGGAAGCCCCGAGCCCAGCGCCCAGTGCTCGGGCGCCCGGCGCCGCGAGCGGCCGCCAGGAGCTGGTCCGCTTCGCTGGTCAGCTGCTGACGGTGCGGCGACCGGGCCCGGCGCCGACGAAGCGGCGGCGAGGCAGCTCGGTAGGATCGGAAGGGGTGCAGAAAGAATGGGTGCGAAGGCCGACAGCAGCTCCTGTTCATTTTGCACAGGGCTCGGTGTCCGTGTCGCCGCGGGCGCTGTCCGTGTAGACAGAAGGTCGCGGCCGCCGTCGGTTTGGGACAACAAGTGTTGTTGGGCGTCGTACCCATTGTTTCCGTACCCATGTATTTCGGGTGTTCAAAACAGCGAGCTCGGGGGCCAGCAGGGGCAACGTTAAGGGGGAGGGGACAGGCCTAGGGGGGGACGTATCGACCCCCATTCGTTGAATTTATCGCCGATGAGGGCCCGATAGCCCACCCCGACCCAGGAGCATGCGGCTTCGCTATCGGCGGCCTATCACCGATCCATCGGCGATGTATCGCCGATGCCAGGTCGATGCCTTCCCCCCTGGGCCAGTCCCCCCGAGCCCCTCAGGTCGGATATCACGCAGCGAGCCTTGCCGCCAGCGGAGTGAAGCGGCAGCGGGGACCGCTGCGCGGTATCCGACCCGGAACCGAACCTCCGTGGGTCGGTTTTGGAGGCCGCCGCGGCGATGGCCGCGGTCGCAAATTGGGGCAAGGTTTTCTTAAGGAGTGTTACGTTGCATCTTCGGGGGGCCCCGCCTGTCCCCCAAATTGGTGTCTTTTCTTGTGCCCGTCGCGGACTCTATGCGGACTCGACACGGATTCGGCGTGGATTCGACGCGGATTCGATACGGATTCGACATTGATCCGACGAGTCCGGCATGGATTCGGCACGGATTCGACGCGGATAGGGCCGTGACGGGATAGACGAGGTCTTCCGAGAATGCCACATAAGGAGCGGCATGCCCGTTCTTACCCACCCCCCCGCTTTGCGATGTAGAGGTGCTCAGTGTGCTTTGAAGCGCCCAGGGCGTTTGTTCATAGTTTCCAACACCTTGCGTCGTTTTAGTCAGCAGCGGGGACCTGGAAAGGGTATAAAATTGAACCCAGAAACTAGACAAACACATTTCCGCACGATCAGTTGGAACTTACTTGAAAACGAATCCGCGCAAGTTGCCCCTGAAAACTATGAAAGAACGGGTTGGTGGACATTGTGCACAACACGAGAGTGCCGATGATAATGAATAGTTACGGGGTGGCGCAGCGGGCATCAGCAGCAGCAGGCAAAAGCAGCACCAGGTAGCATAGGAGGAAATTTGCGGCTTGAGCGGACAGGAGGTGCAACGGAATAGCCTTCTGGAGAGAGTGTCGAGCCCTTATCGTGCGTTTTGTTGTCAGTCGCTGTCCGACCCACAGGAGTAGGGGAAATCAGTTGGAAACATACTGGAAGCGGTCTCAAACAGGCAACTTCGACCCTTGGCCCAGGGGAGGCGGAAACATTGAGGATGTCGCCGCCGCCATTGAGGCCGCCGTTGCGACGCCGATGCTGGTGTTATGACACCGACGATGTCTCCGGCTCTGACGCGCACTCCAGGGGGCCAGACAGCGATTGATTGGCAACGCACGATAAGAACTCGACATTCTCTCCAAAAAGGTTTCTCTGGTGCACCTGCCTCCCACTACAGCCGCCAACTCCCTGCTTGATCGTGTCTGCCGTTCCCTGCTGCGCTCTGATACTTTCTGCTTGTTGCTGCTGCTTTCAGCTGGTGCCTCATTACCGCTTGGTGATTGCTAATGCACGCCCCGACAAAACAATGCCAAATACAAAAGAGGGCGTTGCGAGGCAGATTTGGAAATGATGAAACATGAACTTGGAAATTATAGTTGTATGCGTGCTTGAAAACAGCACAAAACACGTTCCCTCGGATTTGCGTCGGAAGCGATAAACGACACGCATCGGCACGGATACCTGTAAGCGACTCATTAGAACAAGACAAACGGAAATTATTGAAACATGAGTCGTCCAATGAAAGTTGGAAATTCTGAAGAAGCGCCTTGGGCGGTTCCAAGGCACCCTAAGTAGACTTGCCTCAGAATTTGCAATGTAACGAAAGAAAGCTGTCAGTTCATGTCAGACAAGCATGTTGTATTGGTTAGGGGCGGGTTCTCACGCACCTAGAGGCAACGAGCTCGGGGGTCAGCTGGCCGGGCTGGACAAGCTGCTCGGGTCTTTGGGCAGCACCCGGGACATCAGCGTGATCGAGAAATCGGGGCTCGACTGGTCAGACCACAGGGAGCAGGCGGGCCTGGCCGACCTCCACAGGGACGCCAGAGCTGGCGCGCTGGACAGGCGCGCGTTCCTGGAGCGCGCGGCGGCGCGCAGCGCCGCGCGCGGCGAGGCCGCTACGCGCGCCGCGGCACGCGCGAAAGCCCGCGCGGCAGCCCGCTCCGAAGCAGGGTCGTAATCGCGGCGGCCGACAGGCATAGGCGTGCAGACTTGGGCGCTCATCATCATCATCCTCCTCCTCCTCCTCCTCATCATCATCATCATCGTCATCATCTTAATATTAATCTTCATCTTCATTTTAATATTTACAGTTGTCCTCATCATCATCACCATCATCATCGTCGTCATCGTCGTCGTCATCGTCGTCATTGTCCCCGTCACCATCACCATAATCATCGTAATGACTATCATCATCATCGTCACCATAACCATGACCATCATCATCATCGTTATCATCATCAGCACCATCATCATCATCATCATCGTAATTGTCGTCATCGTTGTCATTGCTCCCGTCATCATCATAATCTTCACTATCATCATCATCATCATCATCATCACCATCATCACCCTCGGCATCGTCATCACCATCATCACCATCATCATCATCATCGTCATCGTCGTCTTCATCGTCATCGTCACCGTCGTCGTCGCCGTCATGGCCCCCGTCATCATCATCAGCATCATCATCCCACCATCACCATCATCATCATCATCAACATCGGCATCGTCACCATCATCATCACCATCACCATCAGCATAGCGTAACCATTATCGTAATCACCATCAGAATCAGCATCATCGTCGTCATCGTCATCGTCATCATTACCCCCCCATCTTCATCACCATCATCCTCATCACCATCATTATCATCCTAATCATCAGCATCATCATCACAATCATCATCATTAGCAGCCTCATCATCATCACCATCACCGTCACCACTACCATCAGCATCATCACCTTCATCGTCATCGTCGTCGTCATCGTCGTCATTGCCCCCGTCACCATCAGCAGCAGCATCGTCACCACCATCATCATCAGCACCATCGTCATCATCATCATCATCACCATAATCATCACCTTTATCATCACCGTCATTGTCGTCATCGTCGTCATCGTCGCCATTGCCCCCGCCATCTTCATCATCATCAGCATCATCATCACCATCATCATCACCATCACCATTACCATCACTCTGAGCATCGCCATCACCATCACAGTCACCAGCAGCATCGTCATCATCATCATCATCATCATCATCATCATCGTCACCATCGTCATCGTCACCATCGTCACCATCGTCATTATCATCATCGTCATCGTCAGCATCGTCACCATCATCATCGTCCTCGTCATCAGCTCTATCACAATCATCATCATCATCATCACCATCAACATCAACATCATTCCGTCATCATTATCAGAATCATCGTCACCATCACCATCATCATCGTTGTCGTCATCATCAGCCTCGTCGTCATCATCAGCATCATCATCGCAATCGTCACCATCATCATCATCATGATTATCATCAATATCGTCATCATCATCAACATCACTGTCGTCATCGTCGTCACTGTACCCGTCATCATCATCATCATCATCATCATCATCATCATCATCATCATCATCATCATCATCATCATCATTATCAGTTTCATCTTCATCTTCATCTTCATCTTCATCTTCATCTTCACCACCACCACCACCACCACCACCATCACCACCATCACCATACACAGCTGGCACCCGTGTGAAGAGCAGCCCTGTGGCGGGATCATTTCGCCCCATCGCGGGCGTTCAAGGTTGAACGCCGTCAGGGGCCTCGGAGGCGACCTATGTCGCGGCGACACAGACTTGCCGCACGCAGTTGGCATTTGGAGTAAGTAAGGGCTACGAACAGCCTTAGCTTTGCAGAGGTACCTTGATGATCATCGTGTGTTGGGCCTTCCGCCTCTGAGTGACGCTCGTGTTGTTTGTACCTCCAGGGGGCCTTCGGCGCAGTCGTGTTCTTGACCCACAGTCTTGTTGCAATGTGTCGGCGCGCATGGTTGGTGGAACGGGCCGTCTGACGGGGGGGTGTAGGAGATGTTCCTTGAACACTTTGGAACACATTCACCAACAGCATGCCTGGCCAATCTTGCGAACGCCCTCATACAAACCGAACGGGCGCCATCGTGACCAGCGTCCCAGCGTCCTTTTTCATGAAGGGATCGGCTCGGTTCGGTTCGGTCTGGTTCTGCAGCCGGGTCGGTTTTGCTTGGCCGGTTCGGTTTGGCATCGGTCCGGTTTCGGCCGGTTCGGCTTGGGCCTGCCGCCGGTTCGGTTCGGTTCCGGTTTTCGCGCGGTTGGGTCCGACCGGTTCGATTCGGTTTGAGTGGCCGTTCTGGTTCGGTTCGGCCCGACTGGTCAGGTGCGACGTTGGGCGCCCCGTCTGCGTAAGCGACGACCCAGTTGGAAAAAAGGGAGGGAGGATGGGGGAGGAGGAGGAGGAGGAGGAGGAGGAGGACGAGGAAGAGGAGGAGGAGGAGGAGGAGGAGGTGGCGGAGGAGGGAGGAGGAGGACGACGAGGAGGAGAAGGAGGAGGAGGAGGAACGTGGAGGCGTGGAGGTGCGAGGCCCTCGGGTGCGACCCCCCTCCCAGGTGCGACCCCCCTCGGGGCTGCGACCCCCCTCCCGGGTGCGACCCCCCTCGCGGGCGCGACCCCCCTCGCGGGTGCGACCCCCCTCGGGGCTGCGACCCCCCTCCCGGGTGCGACCCCCCTCGCGGGTGCGACCCCCCTCGGGGCTGCGACCCCCCTCGCGGGTGCGACCCCCCTCGGGGCTGCGACCTGCCTCCCGGGTGCGACCCTCCTCGCGGGTGCGACCCCCCTCGCGGGTGCGACCCCCCTCGCGGGTGCGACCCCCCTCGGGGTTGCGACCCCCCTCGCGGGTGCGACCCCCCCCGCGGGTGCGACCCCCCTCGCGGGTGCCACCCCGTTCGCGGGTGCGACCCCCCTCGGGGTTGCGACCCCCCTCGCGGGTGCGACCCCCCTCGGGGCTGCGACCCCCCTCGGGGCTGCGACCTGCCTCCCGGGTGCGACCCCCCTCGCGGGTGCGACCCCCCTCGCGGGTGCGACCCCCTCGCGGGTGCGACCCCCCTCGGGGCTGCGACCTGCCTCCCGGGTGCGACCCCCCTCGCGGGTGCGACCCCCCTCGCGGGTGCGACCCCCCTCGCGGGTGCGACCCCCCTCGGGGGTGCGACCCCCCTCGGGGCTGCGACCCCCCTCGCGGGTGCGACCCCCCTCCCGGGTGCGACCCCCCTCGCGGGTGCGACCCCTCTCGCGGGTGCGACCCCCCTCGGGGCTGCGACCCCCCTCGCGGGTGCGACCCCCCTCGGGGCTGCGACCCCCCTCGGGGCTGCGACCCCCTCGGGTCCTGGGGTCTTGGGGTCCCGGGTGTCCAGGGGGGTCCTGGGGTCCTGGGGATCATCGGGGTCGATTCGGGAGGTTCTGGGGTCATCGGGGTCCCGGAGTCCTGGGGGTCATCGGGGTCCTGGGGTCCGGACCGGAGGGGAAAGGGGTTCGGTTCGGTTCCCGTCGGTTCGGTTCAGGGGCCGCCCGGTTCCGGTTCGGTTCCGGTTCTGGTTCGGTTCGGTTCTCGCCGGTTCGGTTCTGAATGAATTCGGTTCGGTCCGGTTTGGTTTTCTACGTTCTTGGTTTTGGACCGGTTCGGTCACGGTCGTGGTTCTCGGTTCGGTGCGGCCCCTTCATGCTTTTTATACGCGCAGACATTTGCGCTTGCTCGTCCGCGCGCATGTTTAGAGCGCGTGCTCCTCCATCGCCGATGTAATGCACAGGCTATCAAGGCAATCGCGATTGGATCGAGCTCGCAGCGCAATCCAAGCCACCACTGGTATCGATCTTTCTTATGCAGTGTCAGGCCATCACTGAACTGTTTGACAAGATGCCCGTCGGTCATTGAAAGTAAGCGTTCCTGGATGTCCAGATCCCACTCTATTTCAAGCGCCTTCCTTCAATCATCGATATGCTTTTGCTGCGTGTTGTTATTCTCTGGGAGGGCCTGATCCCAATCTACGTTATCCGCCTTCCTACTTCATATTTGACCTACTGCTTCCCACCGACGTGTAACTGATTCGTATATCTCGGGCGTCACCCTCCAGAGCCGTTTCGGCTCCAGCTAGTTCTCTCGTTGCCCGAGCTGCGCGGCGCGGGGCCGTTTTCGGAGCGCGCGGACAGGAGGGCCGAACATGCCTTCCAGATCCCAGTCCGTGCTCCTCCCTCTGGGACTCGTGGCGGCGTGCCTGTACGCGGGCCGGGTCTTCGTGGCCCCGCGCGCGCCCAGCCTGCGCCCTCAGGCCGGCAAGGCGCTCGTGGCGCTGCAGGGCGCCGCCAACAGCGTGCCGACCGGCCTCGTGTACCCCTCCCCCGAGGAGGCGGCCAAGACCCGCGAGGTGGACGGCATCACGCTGTATTCCACCCACGCCTGGACCGACGACATGGTGCCCATCCTCGAGGCCGAGAGCAAGCCCGAGCAGGCGCCGGTGATGATCGGCGTGGCCGCCGACTCCGGCTGCGGCAAGTCCACTTTCCTCAGGCGCGTGCTGGGCGCTTTGGGCACCGAGGTCAAGCCCGGGCACACGGCCATCGGCGACATGCTGACGGTCATCTGCCTGGACGACTACCACATCAACGACCGCGCCGGCCGCAAGGCGACCTCTCTGAGCGCGCTGGACGCCCGCGAGAACGACTTCGCGCTGATGGGAGCGCAGATCGAGGCCCTGAAGCAGGGCAAGGCCATCTACAAGCCGATCTACAACCACGACACCGGCAACAAGGACCCCCCCGAGCTGATCCAGCCGAACAAGGTCTTCGTCGTGGAGGGCCTCCACCCGATCTACGACGAGAAGGCGCGTGCCAACCTCGACATGGCACTCTACATCGACATCGTCAACGACGTCAAGTTCGCCTGGAAGATCCAGCGCGACGTGGCCGAGCGCGGCTGGACCGAGGACCAGGTCAGGGAGGATATCGAGAAGAGGCTGCCCGACTTCGCGGAGTACGTGGACCCGCAGAAGAAGGACGCCGACGTCGTCCTGCGCTACGAGCCCTCCGACCAGGGCCTGCCTTACCTCAAGGTCAAGCTCATCCAGAAGAAGGGCGGCGCTTTCCCAGCGATCTCTCTCAAGAAGGAGATGACCCTCACCGGGAGCAAGCCGGGCGCCACCCTGAAGCAGTACGACGACGATTGGTATGGCAGCCCAGTGAGCGTAGTCGAGATGGACGGAGAGATCGACATGGACAACATGGCCGAGCAGGTGGCCGAGATCGAGGCCAACCTCGAGGGCCTGAACGGCCGCAGTCCCAGCGAGCTCACGGACGCCATGGTCAAGCTCAAGGACAGCCCCGGCTCGCAGAACGGCACCGGGCTCCTTCAGGCGATCATCGCCATGAAGATCCGCGAGGTCTACGACAAGCTCACCCAGTTGACCCCGGCATAAGAGGGTGAGTTGGCCTTGCGATTGGCCTTGAAGCATATTTGAGACGCCTACGGCGAATTACCGCCGCCCCCTGCATTTTGGAAACGCACATGCGGCCAAACGTTGGTCAGAAGTCTGGCCAAGCTATTGGACAATGTCTGCCCCCAGCCCTTGTGGAATCCCATCGAGGGAACACTGGGGAGAGGAAGAGAAAGGAGGAGGAGGAGGAGGAGGAGGAGGAGGAGGAGGAGGAGGAGGAGGAGGAGGAGGAGGAGAGGGAGAGGATTTGCTTCTCTTGAATGTCCGCTTTGGACATTGTGCTCCCGTAGGCCGCACAGCTGACTCAGGCCGAGGCCCTGAGCCGGCGGAGCGCGTTTGTGACGTCGATGTTGAGGCCGCACTGCCCGAGGCACTCAGTTGCCAGCTTCGGCGAGATCCGCGGCGTCGCTGCAGCTCCGCACTGGCCGCACCACCAAAGGCCTCGTCGTTCGTGCCAGCGAGCGCCCCCGCCAGCATGGGCATGTTTCGAGCAGTGGCGAAGCGTCCTGGCTTGCCTATAGGCCCACCAAAACATGAAAGTGACAGTGAACGTCGGGGTCCTAAAGGCACTAAGGAGGAGCCCTCCAATACAACAAAAACGGGGCGGCCCGAAAAGGCCAGGGCAGGCGGAGGCGGGCCAGCCGACAGGCTAGACTTAGGGCCCCCCCAGACGCCGAGCCCACCCCGCACGCACGGACACCGAAACAACACGACATGTCCGAGCCACACACTCGAGGCGAGCAAGTGAGCAGCGATGGTACTACAGGCTCACAGCTCGACGAGATGCATCGATGAAAGAAAAGATCAAACCATTTCAATCATCACTTGCTTCGGCCCCTGGCGCCGTGGCGGTCCGTGCGGCGGCGCACGCGCCTGCGCTCGACCGCACTGACAGCGGCCTGAGCGCTGGCGGTCAGTTCGGCCTCGCTCAGGCCGTAGGCCGCCAGGAGGCTGACGCGGGCCTCTGCGCCTCGGCCGCCTGCCACCGCCCCCGAAACCTCGGGCGTGGGCCCGCGCCTGGCCCCAGGCATGCTGTCCCCGCCGACGGGCACTGCCTGGGGGCCAGCTGCGGCCTCGGCGCGCAGGCGCTCGGTTCCACGCACGCTCGCTCCTGCGGCTCCGCTGGGGCCCGCGGCGCTGGCGTCCGCGCCGCCAGCACCTGCCGCCGCCCCCGAGACCACCGACGTGGGCGAGCCGCTGGCTCCAGGCACGCTGTCCCCGCCGACGGGCGCGGCCTGAAAACCAGCTGCGGCCTCGGCACGCGGGCGCTCGGTCCCGTGCCCACTCGCACTTGCTCCGCTGGCGCCCGCGGCACTGGCGTCCGCGCCGCCTGCACTTGCGGCTCCGCTGGGGCCCGCGGCACTGGCGTCCGTGCCGCCCGCCGCTGGCCGCTCGGCCAGGACCCCGAGCCACCCCAGGTAGCGCTCCTGGGCGTCGGCTGGCAACGGCCCTTGCCCTCGGAGGCTGGGGATGGCCTGGTCCTTTTGGCGCTGGTTCGCCGACCGAGGCCTCCCAGCTGGGTGGAGTCCGCGCTCCCACGGGCTGCGCTGGTTGCGCCCGCTCTTGTCCGTCCTGTCCGCGTTAGCACATCGGGCATATGTGCAAATAACCTTGTTGTTGTTGTTGTTGTTGTTGTTGTTGTTGTTGTTGTTGTTGTTGTTGTTGGTGTTGTTGTTGTTGTTGTTGTTGTTGTTGTTGTTGTTGTTGTTGTTGTTGTTGTTGTTGTTGTTGTTGTTGTTTGTTGTTGTTGTTGTTGTTGTTGTTGTTGTTGTTGTTGTTGTTGTTGTTGTTGTTGTTGTTGTTGTTGTTGTTGTTGTTGTTGTTGTTGTTGTTGTTGTTGTTGTTGTTGTTGTTGTTGTTGTTGTTGTTGTTGTTGTTGTTGTTGTTGTTGTTGTTGTTGTTGTTGTTGTTGTTGTTGTTGTTGTTGCTGTTGTTGTTGTTGTTGTTGTTGTTGTTGTTGTTGCTGTTGCTGTTGCTGTTGCTGTTGCTGTTGCTGATGCTGCTGCTGCTGCTGCTGCTGTTGTTGTTGTTGTTGTTGTTGTTGTTGTTGTTGTTGTTGTTAGATACATGTTAGGGGGTACGGGAACACTTCGCAGTATGACTATAGGAGTGCCGCGACGGTCGGTCCTTGCTCACATGCTTGGTGACGCAGTTGTCTTTCCAGCACCACTTCAACACCGACACTGGGATTTTGGCGCTCGTGGTGCAGCCGCAGATGCTGCAACGCAGTCGTCCCGAGCCGATCTCCGACTCGGTGGCGAGACTCCTGTACCAGCTTCTCCTTGAACTGAGTCCAGGGCGACGGTTTCCTGCTTCCTCGGCGCTGCTTGCGGAGCGCTTCTCCGCCCACGTCATAGGCGGGTGCCTGCGCAGCTGCGCAGAGCATGAGCGTCCGCGGCGGCGACCGCGATGCGGTCCCCGGCGAGCTAGGCAGTGGTTGCGGTCCATTCGTAACAGCTGACTTGGGTACGAGGTCGGGCATGCTGATCTGCAGCCTGGCTTGCTCGTTCGTCAGCCGCACTGTTGCCAGGCCACGCGCGGTGCGGGATGCGGCGGCCCATGGCCTCGTGCTCGTCTGGACTGTGTCCTGCTCCCCACGGCCTCCTCGGCGCTGCAGGGCCAGTCGAACACGGCGCCAAATGTATGCATTGCACCTCCAGCGGCGCAGAACTCTGTGCGGGCTTCAGTGACATCCTGTGGCCAGTACTTCTCCGAGTCCGTCCAGAACTCCATTCCGCTAGACGTGCGCTCCAAGGCGTCGAGGAACGCCCATAGTTCAGCCCGAGTGTTCGTCTGGGCTGGCCCTGGAAGCGGCCCCTGCCTGGCGGCCTTGACGCAGCCTTCGCTTCCAGGCTCGCTAGAGACAAGCACCCATGCCCAGCCGCAGCGTCTGTAGCGCGGGTCTGTTGCGTCCTCGCTCCCACTGCCGTCGCCACATACGATGAGTTTGCATTTGCTGTGGCATGCATCTTCTAAGCTCTCATTATGTTCCTGTGTCTCGCACGGGGCGGGCACGTCCACGAAACAGGGGTGAGGCCCCAGAGCCAACATGCAGGGCAATCATGCCCTTGCAGTACACGCTCCTGCATAAGATGGGTCTTCTCGTAGTTGGGGTAGTCGTCGCGAGGAGGAGAGGGAGCAGAAGGAGGAGGAGTAAGAAGAAGAGGAGGCCTCTTGAGGCCCTCTTGAGACCTCATCGGGGTTTCCTGGGAGCCTGTTGGGGGGCTCTACGAGGCCTCTTGGGGGCCTCCTGGGACCGCTCTGGGTTCTCCTGGAGCCGCTTGGTACCTCTTGAAGGCCTCTGGTGGCCTCTAAGCCTCAATGCCAGCTTGCGGTTGAGAAATAATGCCCCCCCCCAAGGATGATGAAAAGACCCCGCAGGGCGCGAAACCAATTGTTTCACGCCCGCCAGGGGGTCATCGTGTACCCCCGTGCGCGTCAGCCTCAAACCGATTGATTGCCTCTTCACGAAGAAATTGCCAGAGCCATCGTACACAACCGAGGCGAAGTTCTCGCCCTCAGGCTGATTACTGACGCGCCACAGTCGTCGCCGTCGTCGTCGCCGTGGTCGTCGTCGTCGTCGTCGATGTCGACTACAGCGGGCCTACGCAGCACCCGCCCTTTTCCCCATGGGGCATCCGCAGTGCGTCGTCGTCGTCGTCGCCGGTCGTCGTCCGTTGGCAACAGCGGGCCTGCGCAGAACCCCCCCATGGGGCATCCGCCGCAGTGCGTCGTCTTCGCCTTCGTCCTCGTCCTCTTCGTCGTCGTCGTCGTCGACGACGACGACAGCGGTCCTGCGGAGAACACACACACACACACCCGTACGGAGCATCCGCAGCATTGCATCGCCGTCCGTCGTCGTCGCCGCCGCCGCCGTCACCGCGCCGTCGCCATCGTCGTCGCGTCGTCGCAGGACACGTTGTAGCGGAAGGGGGAGGGGGAAGGGGAGAAAAAAGAAAACGAGGAGTTGTTACGCCTGCTCTTGCTGTTCCTCTCCCCTCTCCTTCCTTTTGTTGTCTATAGCCATGTCGGCACCACTCGCCATCTGTGAGGCGTCTCTTCTCGCCTCCTTCTTTCGTGTCTGCAGCCGTTTTGGCCCACACGCCCCGTTGTAGCGGAGGCGTTGCTGTCCACCCCACTGAAGCGGCGCCGTTTGCGTCGCGCTCGCCGCCCTCCCGCTGGCGGCTGGGTGTAGGCGCCAATCACCGGCGCCGCCCGGGTGCGTTTCCATGTGGACGGCAGGCAGCGCCGAGCAGGAAAACCAGTTGTCGAATCACGCGCCTGGCTCGTTCTTCTTTGTTCATCACAAGCTGACATTATGGGACTGTTTGACCTTCGGAGGCCGTCTTGGGGCCCGTTTTAGGGCCGTCTTGGAGGCTTCTGGGGCCGCCCTCGGGGCCTCTTAGGTTGTCTTGGGGTCCTCTAGGACCGTCTCGCGGGGCCAAAATTCAGGGGCCGCGGAGGTTTTAGGAATGCGGGATGCCAGAAAAAGCGAGGACGCCCAAACCATTTTAGAATACCGAGCGGTAATTAATGATTGTGGCGTCTTGGGCGCCTGGAGGTCCTATTGGAGTCCTGTGGGGGCATCTACGGGGGCCCGTTGGCTTTGAGAGGCCGTTTTGCGCCTCCCTTAGGCAGCGTGGTTTAGTGTTCTAGTGTTTTGGGGCTGTCTCGGAAATTATTGGGGCCGTATTGGATGCCGCCAGAAGGGGCCTCTTGGGCTGCTTTTGGGCCCTCTCGGGCCGCCTTGCGGGCCTCTTCGGGGTCTCTTTGGCCGTATTGGGGCGAGTTCAGGGGCTTATGGGCCCGTCCGTCTTGGAGCGTCGGGTTTTCGAAAAGGCGAGAACGCGAAAATCCGTGACTACTGAAGGATAATCAAT